ATTTTCAATAAATTGCTTGCATAAGGTATCTTCATATAGGGTCAGGGATATAGCTCAGTAGCACAGCACCTGTCTGGCAAGCCCAAAAGATCCTGAGTTTGATTCCTGATACACACATAAAAAAGTTATCATCATATATATATATATATATATATATATATATGTTTATATATATCATATAAACATATAAACATAGTCAATGATCTAATCATCTTACTAACAGGGTCCTGTAGAAATTAGGCTTAATAACAAGTCAGAAATACTTCATAAAGTCAGGGATACAGACCATAGTTCAGTGGTAAGAGGACTTGCCTACCATGCATAAGGCCCTGCATTCCATCGCCAGTAACAAGTGGTGTAAAACAAATCCATAAATACTGCTACTAGTTTTAGGATTTTTATTTGTATACTATAAAGTATAACTGTACATGGTAATTAAACATAGTGGCAGTATTTTGGAAACAGTAGCTACCGTCTGCTAATTCACTATCATGTTTCACATTTTCTTTAAAAGTCTTTAATGTTTAAATCACAAGACTGCATCAAATTGGCATTCAGCTTTTATTTGACCAGTTCTTCAATTTGATTTATCACATTCTTTTTTTTTTTTTTTTTTTTGAGACCAGGTTTTGTTATAGTTTTGGCTGGCCCTGAACTCACTATGTAGAATCCAGGCTGGTCTAGAACTCATGGTAACCTCCTGTCTTAGCCTCTCCAGTGCTGGGATTACAGGCAGGCATGTACCACCACACCCTGCCATATAATTTCTGGTACTTTTAATGGCATTTAATTTTTGTAATCTATTATTTTTATCTCTCTAGTATTTCCTTATATTTTCATTTTTCCTGGTCTGTGACATTTCTACCATTGTATCTCATATTGCTATAGTCCTAGAATAACTTCAGTGTATTTTTTACTTTTACTCAGTTCTATTCCTTAGCTTTTTTTTGTAGGGCAAATAATGTATGTAAATCAAAATGGGTATTTTTCAGCATAGAATGTGTTATAGTGACTATCCTGTAGGTAAACTTTCTTCCAAGCACTTCAAGAAAATTCTTAACTTTAAGAGGTTCAAATTTGAACCTCCTATCTGCAAATCCTTTTTATTTTTTATAATACATATAAACCAAGAAAGAGAGAGTGGCACAGCAAGGCTGAAGCAGGAGAATCAACAGAGTTCAATCTAAACTATATAGTAAGACGCTATCCCAAAAAACTGAAGGAAAACAAACACCAACACACACACGTATACCCTTGTATATAAACACACAAACCATGTTCTCTAAAGAAGGCAGAGAAAACACAAAAACTGATTAAAAAAAATAAAACTATGGCCACATGCAGTGGCACAAATCTGCAATCTCAGGTAGTCAGCAGACTGGGACTGGAGGCCAACCTGATCATCTTGGCAAGACTGTCTCAAAAAAAAAAAAAAGAAAGAAAACGAAAAAATAAAAGACAGAATTAAGTTTTGGGAGCTGGGGCTGGCAGCAACTGCCAGCAAGCAAGCCCTCTACGTGAGGTTGAGGAGGGAGATTCCAAATCCAAATTGGGCAACTTACTGATTAGCAAAACCTTGTCTCAAAATAAACAATAAAAATGCTGGAGGCCAGGCATGGTATACACTTTTAATTCCAGCACTATAGGTAGGAAGACCCAGCCTGGGCTACACAGTGAGTTCAAGACTGCCTGCACTACAAAGTGAGGCTCTATTTCAAAAAACAAAAGAGAAAAAGAAAACAAATGGGCTAGGAATGTAACTAAATGCAAAGGCCCTGGATTCAATCTCCAGTATTTAAAGTAAAAAATTACGATTTTTAAAGGGGTACAGGGCTGTGGGTATACCTCCATGATAAAGCACTTGCCTAGACTGCTTGAGCTCCTGGGTTTAATTCTCAGTACCCCTCAAAAAAAAAAAAAAAAAAAAAACCAAATAACAGTCCTAGAACTCTGTATGTATAGTTCTGTCCAGAACATTTTGTATAAAAAATGTAAGACACTGCTAACATAATTGCAAAGACCATCTTTTTTCTATTAAGAGTGTCACATGGGGTCATTAAAAACATTTTAATGACTATGTTACTTCCACTGATTAGCTAAAGCTAGACATTTTTCCCCATTCTCACACAATCATCACATTAAAAGGTGGTGGCAGGAAGGACCAGCACTCTTTGGTAGATAAGTTAAATGGAAACTCAGCTGAACAGTAAAGACATTCTGAATCTATTTCTAAAGTTTAATATAACCAATTGTAGGTTTTCTAACTTGTTTCTCTAAAATAACTTAAATTTGGAAAATGAATGTTCTATTAAAATAATTAACAAAGTTTATATTAACACTTAATTCCCCTCACTTTGGACTGAGTTTTTATTATACAGAAATCTAAATGCCTGATGTAAAGCATGCATGCATAAATATGTATTACTACACAATGCTTGATATTATATAATAAGAGTCAGAGACTGCTGAAATAAATAAGAAAATGTGACCCTTGGAATAAAATGAGTTCTTAGGGGATAGGGATTTTGCTCAGTGGCGTAAGTGCCTGCCTGACAAGGGAAAGGTCATGAGGTTGATCCCCGGTACCAAAAAAAGAAGTTTTAAAAAATGTAATATAAGAAAAAAGTCAGGTTGGGGATATATCTGTGATGGAGCACTTCCCTACCATAAGCATCACCCTAGGTTCAATCCTCAGTTCGTACAGACACACACAAAAAAAACCAGTGACTATACTAAAGAAACAGCTATGTGTAAAATGTGTTACGATGCCTTATGCTTGTTTTAAAATGATCCAGGTAGAGGGAGAAAAAGAAGAGAAAAGAAACAAGATTAGATTGGTAATTGCTGAGGCTTGGTGTGGGTATGGGGGTTCACTGTTTAATTCTACTTTTATGTGTTCTTCAAAATACCCAAATTATTAAGTTAAAAATATTTGTATGGCATACATTAAATATTTCATTAAAATACTTTTGTTATGGTACCTTGTGTCAAAAATTCAAAGACATGACAATTTTGATATTTACACATTTTTGCATTTTATATGTAATCTACAAAAGGATATGTTAATAAATATGAAGTTTAAAAACATAATAGAAGCTGGGTGTGGTGGCACAAGCCAGGGATTCAGCTCAGCAGCGTAAGTGCCTGCCTGGCAAGCACAAGGTTGTGAGTTCCATCCCATGAACTAAATAAATAAATAAAATAAAACGATGGTCTTAAATTACTGAGTATCCTCTCAATCAAAATGAAAGTTAGCAAATACAGGCACAAATACATAAATATGCATATTAAATGGTTCTGTGTTTCCCACCCATTAAAAATTTTATTTTAATATGTAATACTTTTTTTTTTTTTTACATGTCTTTCTCCTGCCTAATGATCTCTATGATTATGACACTTTAGTTTGTTGCCCAGGAAATAGATGGAATGGTACACACAAATGACTGTACAACATGATTACAAATTGAATGACAGGAATAAAAACCAGAAGTCTGCTTCACTAAGAAATACTTCTACACATTTCTCCTTCAGATTGTAGTTATAGAAATATTTTATTTTCATACTAACGTAAAGCTAGGGCTTCTTATATGAACAAATATAGTCAATAATTAATTGAGAACATTTCACTGATCTAAATTATACTGCTGAAACAATTTAGCTGATATTAAAAAAACATTTATTAAGGCCAACACCGCATTAAGCACTTTAATACGCATGAGCTCACTAAACTTAAGACATGCCTATTTTCATACAAAAAATATAAAAGTTTAAAGAAGTAAAATTACCTGCCCAAGGTCACAGAACTACTAATTTGCTAAACTGCTATTCAAACTTTATCTCAATTACAACACCCACTTTTCCTCTTTTCCTCCCACCCAGACTACCTTTTAAGAGGCAAAAACATACTCAATTCAAACATAACTAATTAGGGCCTTTGTTAAGTAGCCTATAAAATATTTAAATTACTGGTTATATATATTTCATAGTGGTAGCTTAACCTTAGGTAAGGACCACTAACTAAAACACAGAAAGCATTGTTTCCGCTACTATGAGACTCCACTGCAAATCCAATCTCTTAATTTCACTGTTTCTCATTTTTGTAAGAGAAAATTAATATCCTTGCTATCCAGTTCCATGATTTTTTTAAGATTCAGAGACAAATGTAACGTCAACAGACTCCACAGAGGGCTGGGGACATAGCTCAGAGACACAAGGGGTTCCCTGTCAAGGGTGAAGTTGGGAGTTGGATCTCTAGTATCAAAAGAAAACAAAAAACAAACAAAAAAAAACCACACACACAAAACAGTTTTCTAAATTGTCAACTGTTCATTTCACAGATTTTAATTTTTCCAGAACATTCTAAAGTACTTTTGCCCCTAATATAATAATCATCTATTACTTAGGTGTTTTGTTTTGTTTTGTTTTGTTTATACTGGGAACTGAACCCAGGGACTTCTGCATGCTAGGCAAGCACTCTATCACTAAGCTACAGTCTCTGCCCTACTTATTAGCTTTTCTTATCCTTAAACATGATCATGATCACATCAACATTTCTGTAAATACGTAATATATCCATTTGAAATGCTCAACATACAAAAGTTCTAAATTCAAAATATAGTAAGTATGTGTTTGGTGTCAGTCTTTTAGTTATTAATTCATCATTTTAACATTTGAGTCTTTTCACATTCACTTTGTATTTAAAAAGAATAACTTAAGATTTGGGATCCTAAAGTAGAACACCCAACACATAATTAAAATTATTTTTTATTCTTTTCACAGCCTTTCAAAGCAGATTCAACAGCCAACAAGCACTTCAAACAAACACAGCAATAACGTCCACTGAAAGAAACATGTAGCTGCTCTAAAAGAAGGATCAGGCTCTTTAGGAGAAAATTACATTGTGTGAGTTTGCAAAGTTTCACACTTTCCCATTTAAACTGCATTTCAGAGAAAGCCTTTGCACGCTAACACAATATGCTTTGAAATGGCACTTTGCTGACCTTCCAATAGTCCAGCTCTATGAAAATTCTGTGATGGGTGTAACTTCAGAGAATCTGAAAAACACAAAAAGCATTAAGTACTTTTGATGCTGAATGAGAAAAAATGCCAAGGATAGCATACATCTCTTATATAACTATCATGTATTTTTAAGGGCCAAAGCCCGTATTTGTGAATTCCTTGCAAAAGAAAGGCTGAATTGCCTCTACATCGGTCTCTAGGCTAAACTTAGATTTTGCTAAACATTTATTTCGTGGAAAATTATCTGACAATTACTGCCCAAATGGTTTTAGTGTCCTGGCTATTTTTAGTGACCAATTGTACGACATTATCCCTACTCTAAGAATTATCTCTTGATACTGTCTCTTGTTTCTGACACCGAAAAAACTTTCATTTCTAAAATACTTCAGGTAAGATCCCAAAAACATCCTACAGGGTGGTGAATGCCAACTAAAGTCATCAGAGCAACAACAATGGCTAGTTACTAAGTAGGACTTTGTGTACAAGTTCAATCATCTAAAGTTCAGCACCTTCCAGAGTAAGTCATCTTATCATAATTCACTTAATTTAAATGTGAAACTGAAGGGCCCCCCTAACCTTGGAGAGGACAAAATCAGCGAATGGGCACATAAAAATGGATACTTAAATTCAAAAACAGGAGAAACATTCAATTTTATCAGAAAAAGGGTTCACAATGACACGTTTTTTAATATACTGAAATGAACAGTTAATAACCCAATTATATTTTGCCCTCTCCCAGTGGCTTACAGTGATGAGTGCAGTATTTTGGTTTGATGCCCCTCACACAGGGGATCTGTTCTGACACATTCTTGTAGTGTCCAGCATAGGAATTTAACGTCAGTACAGATGGCTCAAGTGTTAGTATTTTACATGATGGGAATTCCCTCAAACCTTAGCCACAGGAGTTTTTAAATAGGACTCTTTGCCCACTGCCCCCTCCCAGCAAGAAGCCCTTCAAATGGCAAAAAAGAAAAAATTCTCAACGCACAATGTCTATGCTGGAGCCTAGTACTACAGGGAGAGAACAAGAATAAACTAATAAAAGCGCATCCCTTGCTTTCTTAAAAAAAAAAAAAAAAGAGGGGGGAGGGTAAGTAATCAGAATGCCACGGAGGTGGGAAAAGGAGAAAGAAAATTCGGGCCCTTTCCAGCAAGATGACGAGCAAAGGAAGAGCGCCCGGTGGAGGGGGGCCGTCCCGGCGTGGGGAGGGAGTGGACTGTGCCGGAGGGAGAGGGGGGTCACAGAGACGGCGCAAAAATAAACTGGGGGGGGGGGCAAGATGGTGACCCTGCGCCCGGACCGGCTCCCGAGCAAGCCGCCGCTGCGGGGGCAAGTTTGCTGCGGAGGGAGATCCTGGGGAGGAGCCCAGGCCGGGTGATTCCCGAGCCGGGGGCCGCGAGCAGGCGGCGCAGGGACGAAGGCTGGACCGGAGGGAGCGGCGCCGCTCCGAGCGCTCTGCGCCGACAGAATCCGGGTCCCGAGCGGCCCGCGCGTCGCAGGGGAGGGGCCGCCACTCCCCCGCCGGCCCCTCTACGGCACCCCGACCCTTCGTCTAGCCCCGGCCGAGCCGCACAGGCTCTCCGGGTCCCCAAGAGCAGCCTCTGCCCTACCCGGACCCCCGGGGCGCCCCGGCGCCGGCTCTCCCCGCCCCCACGCCCCACCCCCCCAGCCTGACTCACCTCGCGAGTACAGGGACTTGGGCGATTCCAGGTCTAGGTCCGCGCTGAGCAATGAGATGAAGTCCGAGGGCATCGCAGCTCGACCCAGCCCGGCCCGAAGGCAGCGAGAGGGGGGGAGCGGCGGTGGCGGCGGCACCTCCTCTCCGGGACCGCGGGCACCGAACCGGGGGGCGGCGAGGGCGGGCTGCCGCTGCCTCCTCCTCGAGGGCAGTTGACTTCCACCGGGCCGAGGACCGACGAAACAGCGGCAGGGCGGAGGGAAACTCCACAGGGACTGACTCCTGGCGAGCCAGGAGAGAGGTTCGGGGCGGGGAAAGAGAGGGGAGACAACCAACGGGTCCGTTTCGTGCTCCTCCTCAGCGAAAACTGACGGTCGCCGCCACCGCCACCGCCGCTGACAGGAATCTGAGCCCCGCCCCCGCGGAACAGTGCGCAGGCGCGGAGGGAGGCATGCTAATGCCGGGAAGAGCCTGGCGGCCCCCGGAGGGTGGAGAGACACACCACGGAACGGCATCAACAAGGTCTTCGCTTCCTGCGGCCGCTACCCGGGCTGCTGGTCCGGAGCACCGCGCAGGCCCCGCCGGCAGGAGGGAGGGTGGCGAAGAGGCGGCCGCGCGCTGGGGGCCCGCGGAGGGGAAAGGTATCTGCTGGACCTGGTGGCGGCGAGCCCGAGGCGCCCTGACCCACGCCGTGCTGAGCTCGGAGGACACCGAGGGAAGGGCTCCAGGGACTCGCAGCGGCTGAGACTGGCTCCCTGGGGTCTCTTGGGGAATGGAGTTTCGTCGCTTGGACCGCGGCCAGCCCTTTGGGGTTTTCATAGCAGTGTCTACAGTGAGCTGGCCAAAGGACTGTCAAACTCATTTCTTAATTAAGAAATGGCAGATCATATCGTAAAACCCCAAGTTATTGATTCTTTTTAATTAAAGTACTGTACTTTCTATCTCTCATCCCCACTTCGGCCTTGGGAGATTACAATTTAAAATAAAATTTTAAATCTCTCTCTGAGTTTAAAAGCATCAGAGTTTACTTGAAGTGGAAAACAGAAGACAAATTTAAAAATTGGATCTTGTGAATCTACCTGGCTGTTCTGGGAGGGGGGTGGGGAGAAAGCAAGCCTAAAATGCTCTCTTCGAACAGATTTTCACTTTTTACTCCTGAATTAGGCAAAGATGGAGGAAGAACACATGTAAATGAGTTCTTGCTGCGTAGTCTATTCATGGAAGCCAAAAGTTTTCCGTTGCAAAAACAAAAATCCTCACCTACACCGCAGACCGTTTCCTGACTAATAGGCTTGTGGGAAATTTTTAATCGTTATTAAAATATCAGTTGGAACGCAGGGTTTGCTTCTTGGGAAACAATGTTATGTGTGGTACTGATGCCAGCAGCTACACGGGCAAGATTTTTGAACTCATTTTAACTTTTGTTTTGTTGCATCTACAAAGATAATTAGAAATCACAAAAATCAGTCAGTCGTGATCGTGTATATAATTTGCAGAGTCCTTACCCACGAATTTGGGCACTTCACCTGGATTTGAAAGGCTGAGGTTGTCCAGAGAATCTGGAGCCGGTGTGGTGGCTCACACCTGTAATCCTAGCGTTCAGGAGGCTGAACCAGGAGGATGGCTGAGAGTTCCAGGCTAGGCTGGGCTCTGTAATGAGTTCAAGGCCAGTCTGCCTTACAAAGCAAGACCTTGTCTGAAAAAAGAAAAAAAGAAAAGAATTTCTCTGCAAAGGAAACTTCTTTGCAGATGTCTTTGGGGGTGGGCCTTGTACAAATTCTGCGTGCTGGCCTAGAATTAAAACTTGTCGCTAGAGCCTACCTTCTTTCCATCAGAACATCGGATGCAGGTTGCCCAGTTATCCTCACTAAATTCCTCACAGAAATGAATGGACCCTGTGACCATTTTCCTACTGCCAGAAGTGACAAAACTTTTTAAAGTCACCCCAAGATGGCAAGGTAAAAATCAGAAACTACCCTCAAATTTCTGTCCCCACAGGGGCTGTTGTAACAAGTCTTAAGGGAAGTCCCTTTATAACTAGTAAAAGCCCCACACATTAAGAGGGAAAGAAGGAAACCTCTAATTGCCTAATAGGTCAAGGACTATTGAAATCCCTTAGCCTTTGAGTTGGGGTAAACACCTAGGGAGACCTCCCACCCTCCATTAGTCACTACAGAATGTGAGAAGAGGAAATTGCAATGCGCAAGGCAGAGCCCTGGTACTAAGAAAACTGGGTGAATCACAGTATATTTCTTTTCCCTAGACCTGTGTAATCACTCTACAAACTCAGAGTGCAGGAAATCCCCCATTGCTGCTCTAACCCTAATTAACAACTCGAGACTGGCAAGGCCTCTTCTTTCCCTCAGTACTACTTTGCCCTTTTGTGACTTTTTCCCCCTTTACTTTGTTGTAATCAGATTTCTTAACCATATTTCCCCAATTCATAAAAGGTAAAAGGGAAGAAGTATCGCCCAAAATGTAACAACATAAGATTATGAATTTCCCTAGATTAGGATTCCATGGGCTCTGCCTCTCCATCAGGCCCTGTGCTGCTTTTTGATTATATCTAAATATTTAGAAATTAGGTGGCCTCCCCAACCCCATCCTTGCCTGTCATTTTGAGAAATAAATTCTTTAAAAAATTGCTTTGGCTGGGTGGTGCACTCCTGTAATCTCAGCACTTGGGAGGCTGAGGCAGGAGGATGTTTGGGAGTTTGAGACCAGCCTGGGCTACAAAGTGAGTTCGAAGCCAACCTGAACCACATATTGAGACAAATAAATAAATAAATAAATAAAACTGCACTGATGGATAGTTTTTATGGCCATAACTTGTAGCAGCATCGAAACTTGGATTTTTCATTTTGTCCTTCAAATTTTAGTGACTAAAAACAGCAGTTTTTTTTTTTTTTTTTTCTAAATCGGGAATTTAGCTCAGGGGCATAAGCACCTGCCTGGCAAGCATGAGGTTATGAGTTCAATCCCTAGTACAAAAAACAAACAAAAAAGAAATACCAGTTTTTAATGTTTGCCCTACTGAAGTAAAAAAATGTAACATGACTTTCATAATATTCAAAGTTATAAAAGAAACTATCTGATCGTGTCTAATCATGTGATGCTCTCCTATATTATCTCCCTCTTTAGTTATTTATGTCTCTGTTGTGTCCCCTTTTATTTATTATTTGAAATAGTATTATGCATGTAAATTCTGGAAATTTCCTTTTGCTGTAAATTACAATAGAATCAAAGAACAAAACACAGATTTAGTAGTTTATAAAATTCCTTCCCAATCGTGTATCATGTTCCCTACTCAATTAAAATTTCATAAGAACCCATATTCAGCTATGAGATTGCATAGATTATGCAATACAGTGGCAGTTTTTACATTGGTAGTGTGTTCTTTAACCCCTCCTGGACCTGTTTAGGCACTTTGTGAATTGTGTGGCTGAATCTACTGTAAATGAAAGAGGTTCAAATATCAACCACGGGAAAGGGAATTAAATAAGCTCATACAGAACAGAGGAATGTGTTTTCACAAGATCTACAGAATCTTTGTCACTGTAATACAATTAAGGCTGTTAAAATAATTTAGTCACACACATATATATTTTAAGGAACCTACTAAACAAACACAAAATCTGAAAGGAAATTTTTCAGGGCTGTTTAGACCACAAATTATTTTTGCACACCTTAGGGAGCACTCTCCTAATAATTATAGAAAATTGATAGTGGTGGGAAATAGCAGTGACCTCATTTATAATAAAATTATAATCAAACTCTTATTTGAGTATGTGTATGTGTCACTTTTCACCCTAAGAACAAGTTCTAACCAATATTTCAGAGACGAAATTAATTTCTATATAATTTGCCATCATGTTTAGAACAGTCCCACCCTCTTCACCTTCCAAAATATTTAAATAAAAATTACTATTTTCAGGCACCTGATTCACTTTGAAGAAACACTTCTATATTTTATGAATTGGTCTGAGTCAGAGTTTGTGTCTGAAATCTTCTAGAGAACAGTGAAGTCTTAAGATCTAGAGTAACTGCAGGTCTTGAAATGGAGTGCTGATCAGCTTGAGTCTGAATGAGAGAGCAGTGAGAAAAGAGGTAAAGGCCAGAGAAATGTAAAGTATGAATTAGGAAGGAGAAATATTAATAAGAAAGTAGAAATCCTTGAGCCCATTAGATCAAGAAAGGAAAATAATGTCTCCAAGTCTTCCGAACACTAGGCATGCGACCTGCTAGCCAGCCCTTATTCACAGTGGCCCTGATACCATCAAGGCACATTTGCAAAGGCGCTTTTCCCACCTCTATTCATGGCCATTTATGGAGTCCATCTAGCATCCTCATCTTTCTTGCAGTATTATTATAGATGCTAAGTTAGGTAGAAATATTATGGGTAGTCAGACAGAGCTAGGCCCTCAAGAGTCAGTGCAAAAGAATACACTGCAACTGTGGATGCAGGCGCATTAGTTAGTGGCCAGGCTTCAAGACAAAAGATAAAATGACTACACCTACAAACTTCCCCAGGGAATGAACATCAGTCATTGCATTCTAAGTAGGCATCAGTCACCTTGGATGGGGGATCAAACCACCCGCCCAGGAAAAGTCCCGGTCGGTCCATGTGCACCTGCTGCTTGACTTACTTCCGCATTTGACCCCATTTAATCAATATTACCTAAGTGATTATATTCATAATCTTATCGGTTGACCACTGTTTTTTCCCACTTCATACCCTGTTTGCCATTTCCCATTGGATCAATGTTACCCAAGTGACTATGCTTGTACTCTTGGTTGATTATAGTTTTATCCTTCATTAGTCCCACCTCACCTTGTGGTTTGCTCTGTAAAACACCACTGAGAAGGGGGGTCCCCAGGAGTCCACTCAGAAGCATTCTTCCCCTGAGTAAATATCCTCTACTCTTAACCCCCATTGTTCCTAGAATTCATTCTTCGATTTTAAAGAACACCAACTTTGCATATCGGACCTCTAGCAGACTAACAAGTTAGGAGTAATAAAACCTCCCTTACGTTATTTGGAGGTTCTATATCATCCCTCTATCAGTATTAGTTTGACCAGGTCTATAGACCTCTCTCTTGTTTTGGGAAGTTTTAACTTGAGTTGCAGGGGTTGCTTCCAGGTATCTGTGCTCTCCTTAAAACAGTAAGCCAGCTTTTGCAAGCTTGTAACTACAGGCTTCTCTTTCCTTGGGAAACAAAGTCAAAAGTTTAACCTTCATAAGCTTTCTGAAAGAAAGATCCATAACCCAAGAAAGATAATGAACCATTCTTCTCCTCTCTCTGAAGCAATCTACTCCACAAATGGGTATCAGGCACTGCACTAGCTGTGGAGGAGATAGCAAGATTTTACAGAGTCCAATATAAGTAGTAAATGCAGCCCAAAGAGGGAAGAAGTCTGTAAACAAAAGCTTGCATTGTGTCCAGTCCTAGATTAGGAATCCGCACAGGTATGTATCAATAAATTATCTACTTGCCTTCTTAGTTGGCTGATAGAGCAGAAGAGGAAGGAATGTCCTCTCACAGACCACATTCTTTCTTCTCCTCCTCCTGTTCCCTGCAGCAGATATCGCTTCATTTCAACAGCAGTTTGCTACAGGGGCTGAAAGACGCTAGACAGTTACAGGGCAAAGTCCAGGCACTCATGTTTACAATGCAATGCATCACAGCTATGATATGTTGATGCAAATATTCCAAGAAATACCTGCGCTTCATTGGACTTTGTCAAAGATAGTCAAAGAAGCACCAAGTGTCTTTGTTTCAGCTTTACTGAGGATTATGGCTAAATACTCAGGTTAAGGGTAGAATGATAAAATAGTTGAATTGCTCATCCACAACTAAGCCCCAAGTTGAAAGGCTAAAGTGAAGTTACTGAATAAACCAGACTGACTTGAAGAATAACATATTCTAGACTAGGCGTGGTGGCACATGCCTGTAATCCCAGCACTCAGGAGGCTGAGGCAGAAGGATGGTTGCAAATTCAAGACCAGCC